TGTTCTCCACTCACAACAGGAAGAAAAGCTAGAGTTCCCTCTTGGGTTCCATGAAAAAGAAGTTTACTTATTAATTTTTAAAAACATGAAACTGTTTTGGTATGACATAGCAAACACTGTTTCATGCACCGGTCCTGTTTTCCTGGTGGAATTCAGTCGTTTCTTAGAAATAGGACTGACTGAGGCCTTCTGACAAACTTGGAGGAAAATGAATCATGCTCTCGGGATTCAGTTTGAAGAGAAAAATCCAATTCTCTGAACAGAGCTATGATTGCAACACTCAAATTACGTAAATGGGGTGCTTTGATTCAGTGGCTCATGGCTGACTTCAGCTGGGGAGGAGAAAACCCTAACTACTTTTCAAAGCTCTGTGTGACGTGAGCATTCATTTTGCTTTCTGACACGGAAGAAGAATTTCGGGAGAAAATGTATACTTCTGCTAACATGCTAGCATTATCTTCTGAATCTTCTAACACGGGTTAGATCCCATTGCTTTCCCCAGCGGCCCCTCTCATTCATTCTAGAAAGTGGCGCAGCCATTAGGAACAGTCTCTGTCACCAAGTCTAACGTGGCTGCCCTTAAATGTCTGTCCCCGAGAAAAACAGCAACAGGGTTTCTTTCCTCTCTTATACAAGAAGGTGATTTGAGTCACACAAGGGAGGTGTCATGGGTTAACTGTGTCCCCCTAAAAGAGATGTTGCAGTCCTAACCCCAGTACCTGTGAATGTGACCTTACCTGGAAATAGGGCCTTTGTAAATGTAATCAGGTTAAGATGAAGTTGACTGGAGTAGGGTGGGTCCCTACCCATGGTTGGTGTCCTTACAAGGAGAGGGAAGTTGGGGTCCAGGGACACAGGAAGAAGACCACATGCCTCTGGAGGCAGAGACTGGGATGGTGCATCTACAAGCCAGGATCACCAAGGATTTCTGGCAGCACGAGAAGCTAGGGAGAGGCACAGAACAGGTCCCTTCTCGGAGCCTCCAGCAGGGTTAACCATGCAGACAACTTGCTTTCAGACTTCTGGCCCCCCGAACCGTGAGAGAGTTGCTCTAAGCCCACCCTGCTGGTGGTAATGCTACGGCAGCCCCAGGAAACGAATACAGAAAGTGAGTACTTTTCTTCCTTAAACATAACACTGGGGTCATCTAAGATGGGAAGGTGATGTCCCAGCTCTGCGGGGGATGCAGCCAGGCTCCTGAGCTGGTGGCCCAGGACAGATGCGGAATCAGAGATAGTTCCTGTCACACATACTGGTCTGAGGGTGAATCCACAGCCATGCCCACGCTGCCTGGATTAGCTCATCCAAAGGGCTGATAAAAACCAACCCTTGCCCAGAAAAAGCTCTGGGGAAGGGATAGGCATTCGCTGAGCAATCAAAGACAAAGCACAGAAGTGTGAGACAGTATGTTCAGTGCAGGGAACTCTAAGATCTCTTTGTGTTAGAGTAGAAATTGCAAGGAATCAGAAATGGGAATAGAAACACCAAATATAAGGAATGTGCTTTTCAAATGGTGAGGAGCTGAGCAAATATGAGGTATTTCCATCATCACCCATCTTAGTGGGTCAGTGAGAAGATGAGTAAGTGTGCAGATCAAAAGCTTATTGATATTTCCTGGAAAATCATTATAAAGTGTCACATCATAACACAGTATTTTGGATGCATCTAGCTTCAGTGCCAGACCCTAGAGGTCTGGAAAGAAATCTAAACATCTGTACATTAAATACGTGGGTGAATTTCCACAAGGTTCTACAGCATCTGGTTTACAGGCGTTCCTCATGCAAGCATTCAGTGACCATCTGAAACCCATGTCTTGTAGACAGAAATACTGGCACACGTAGGAGGGCCTCGCTAGGTAAGGAGTGGACGTAAGCATTGCAAACGTGAGTCTTTCCTCACCTACGCTATTTTAATCTATTGTGTGCAAAAGTATAAAAATAATGTATGCCTTTTAAAATTTTTACACCATAAAAATTAAGAATTTAAGAATTACAAGGGTTCCTGGGTGGCTCGGTTGGTTAAGCATCTGCCTTCGGCTCAAGTCATGATCTTGGGGTCCTGGGATGGAGCCAGAGTTTGCGGGGGGTCCCTGCTTAGCAGGGAACCTGCTTCTCCCTCCACCCCCTCCACTTGTGTGCATGCGCAGTCTCTAATAAATAAAATCTTAAAAAAATTATATGGAAATACGGAAATGACAAGCCTCGAGAAAGCACAGACTAAACATTAAGAAGCGCTGGAGAAGACAGCACAGAATGAGACTAAGTTAGTGTGATGATGAGGGTGGAGACCACCGCACGCCAGGGGAAGGACCACACACCAAAGGGCCAGTGACACAGCTGCACTCCCTGCAGACAACTGACAGTGCCAGTCAGCTGGGATTCAGTCACCACGCCAAACACCGTCCTGTAAGTTAAGGGGACAGGGCCACAGCAGATGAACTAACCAAAACCCCCCATAATGGAAGGTGCATAGACCGGCAGGAGGCGTTTATATGCGGGTGATCTTGTAGCCGCTCGCATGATCCCCAGCCCCGCCGACCCCCCAGCGTGACGACCCGAGGCTGCTCTGCCTGGGCATCTGTCTTGGCTGGTCGCTGTCCGCCCTGTCCTGGTTCTAAATCCTTGGGCTACAACCTCCTCCTCTGTCCACACTGAACCGTTCACAGCTCCCTGTGGGACGGGCCAAGTGGTTGTGAACAGGAAGCGTTCCCAGATCTCCCCTCCCCTAATTCACAGAGAATCCACTAATGTCATTATGTTTTTCTTCAGCCCAAAGGGGGAGGATTCGCTGTTGGTGGTGCCGTTCTGGCTGCATCTCAGAGGCCACGGTAATCTACCCAGTGCTGCAGGAGCAGAGAAGGAAAGCCTCTCGAGCCGCGGGTGGGGACATTATTCTGGTCAGAGGCTTATAGGAGTCTCCAGAGTAGCTTTGGGGTATGAAAGAAATACACAGGGGATGAAGTTTAATGACTGCTACTGTGGGCTACACATGTGGGCCTACTTTAATCTCTGCTGAGGAACATGGGGATAAACAGAATTATTGAGACTTAATTTTGGTTGTTAAGTGGGACTTCTTAAATGCAAGCCTCTGCTGGACAGGTGGGGGCTCCCAGGCTGAGTGGGGGGATCCTCCATACAAGTCAGCACTCCACTGGACGGATGGGGGCTCCCAGGCTGTGAGGGGACCCCCCACGCGATCTCGATGCACCCCCATGCCCCTCTCATGCTGCACCCTCCCCACTATATTGCACTTCACACTCTGAATCCCCCTCTCGCCTTCACTTGAGGTGCCACCTCACCCATGAGCCTTTCCTTGCTTCTTCAACCCCAGCACAACCCCCAAGCAATCAGACTCTCCGACAGCGTAATCACTCTCTTTGGGGGCTTCACCCCGTGGCAATCACCAGCGATGCTGGTGGAGGACACCAGAGGCAGGACTCACGGGCACTAGGTCCCCCTCACCCTGCCCGGGGGCCGAGGGTTGGCCGCTGTAGGCTTTGTACACTTAAGTCTTTTTACAAAATCCCTTTTTAAAAATGAGGTTTCGATTAGGTTTTGGGGGCAAGGTTAATTTGGGTATTCGAGTTACATTAGCCAGAAAATAGGTTAATATAAAAAAAAATACTTACAGAGAAATGTTGTAGACAAGAGGCTAGTTTATGCTGACGTTAACATAAGGCAACACGCTAAATAAATGGATTTTAAATGACAGATCCTTGTCTGGGACGTTCTTTTTTAAGTTCACTTCGATCTTTTCCTTCTGTATTTTGCTAGGACGCTTCTCCTCCCGGAGACAAGACTGTGGATGTCTGATTTCGTGGCTCCAGTCAGGCTGCTGTCTCAGGTCCTGGCAGGCCGGCTTGCCATTTTCCCATCTCTGCCACATAAAGCTCCACATTTCCCCAAGTTGTAAGCTCCTAAAGATCCTGCCATGGGGCGGCAGGAGTCGCTGGCCTGGTAACCAGGAGACCTTGATACACACGACCTCCCGCGGAGTTTGGTAATAACCTTCGAGGGGCCAAGGCGGGGCTAAAGTTGTATTTCAGAGGCCCCCCCCACACCGTTTGTCTCCCCATTGTCTTGGGAGAATGTCTGGGGCTAAGCCTGTGGTGGTCAGGGGGCTGAGTGATCCTGTTGTATGGCTCCTCAAGACTTCGGAAGACACTCATAAAAAGAGGGTGAGGTCGTGCCCTGGGGAGCACCTGGCAGAGGCTAACGAGACCGTGCTCCAGCAGGAATTCTCCATTCTCCACCCACAACTCGCAGGACTGAATTGCTCCTGGCCTGGTCAGTCCCATTTGTGGCACGGTCTCATGCTCTGAGGCGACCTCAGTGGCTCTTCTTTGACATATACTTTGTAACAACCGTGTTGATTAGCACTTACCTTTTTATGGGTTCATACCTTATCTTTCTAGCATAGGAGAACAAGATGCTAAGATACTGCTTTGTCCACTGTGGGACATGGCTACTGTTCTGTGTATGCTGACCGGTGTGATCGGGAACTTTCTGGGATAAATCATCCGTGAATTAGGTCACAGAATAATTTTTTTCCTGTCTGAGACAGTTTTCTATTACCTCCATCCTTAAATAGGCTTGAGAAGTTGATCTTTGAAATTCCTTTATTACCTTTCTACATGGCCTACGTTCATCAAGGTGTGAGACACTCACTCACCCACTTCCCAAGACTGTCTGTGGAAAATGTTGATGAACTTTGGGATTAACAGCGTGCAAACACTCGGATGGGCTGTAAACCATGAGGGAAGGTGTCAGACCCACCAAGAGGCGGTGCCGAGACCCGCTGGTGGGAGCCTGGACCCGTGATCGGGCAGAACCCCCTGTTCTGGGACTCGCTCCCACCGTTGGCCAACACTGCACATGCTGGCGGTCCCCCATACCAGCGACTGGGCAGGAACCCCCCGCCCCCTGTTCTGGGACTCGTTCCCACTGCCGCCGCCTCCCCTGCCCACCATCGGGGTGCTGGCCTGCCGCGCCCCGGCTTACCTTCACACTTGAGCAGGAAGAAGTCGGCGCTGTGGCTGAAGGACGCGCTGAAGTACGTGCAGTTCTCCACCAGGTCACAGGACAGGCACTGCCTGTTGAAGGTGCCCACCGTGCTGGCGCTGGAGGAGCAGAGACAGCGGGCCATGAGCCGAGGCGGCGGGAACCAGGCCCCGCGGACAAGGTGCAGACCCCCAGCCCGGCTCCAGTGCCCCCCACGCGCTCCAGAGTCCCTGACGCTGCGCCTGCGCGCTGGGCCTCTGCCTCGTCTTCCTGGGAATGCCCCGGAACACTCTGGAACATTCCGTTCTGCGTCCGCTTCCTGCCCGGCGGGCGCCCCAACTCCGAAGAGTTCAGCTCGCAGCACTTCTGCTCTCCGGTCACCCGCGCGTTCATCAGGCCCATGTGCCCCCACTGTGAGGGGGCACAGTGCTCGGCGCCAGGCCCTCTGGAGAGGAGGAGATGGCTTTCCGGATCTCTGGCTTGTTTCCGAGGGCCTAGCGCTGCCGCACGGCGCGTCAGGAACCCCCGGGGACCCCAGAGACGCGGGCTGAATTGAACCCTGGCCGTTCCCGAGCGGGGTCTCCCGCAGAGTCGCACCGAGAGCTGGTGCTCCTCATTCGTGGGGCCGGGGAAGCAGGATCCCCAGGACCACACTCAGCAAGCACAATTTCACGTCAAGAAGGCCTGAAATGTGTTTCCAAAAATGAAGGTACCGAGGAGTCTTTGCACACACCTGGAGGGAGTTCCTGCCTGAGCATTTTGCAGGGGAAGGGCCAACTCGGACCCCAGGCCCCACCGGAAACCTGTCTACAGGGGCTGATCCTTCCGGCCAGACAGAAGAGGGCCTTCTAGCCTATGTGTAAGGTAGAGGAGAAGGTAGGCGGTCGGCCTTGATCGCCTTCCGTCCTGTGGGGGACAGGAATGATCTAGGTTATCCTGGCAGACACGCACGGCTACACGGAGAAGTGAGCCTGTGACCCATGGGCTTGCCAGTTTTCCTCCATCCAAAAGGACTCCCCTGGGCTTTTACACTCTCAGCACATATGCACCGGCGGGTGGGAGGGGCCACTGGTCCACCTGATGGGCTTCTCCAGTGTCTTCTCCACGGGAAGGGAAGCCAGGCGTAGGCTCCATCCAGACCGTGAGTCACCCTCTCTGGCCCTCAGGTCCACATGGGGCGGCTGGTGTGCATGTAGGCCACCACCCGCTGCTACCTGCTTCTAGTCTGGAAAACATCGAGGAGGTAAATTTGCCCTATTTCCACCTCTGGTGACCCCGTCTCAGAGCCCGACACCTGCTCTGGGAAGAACAGTCACTGGGGCGACACTGAAGAGGGACCGACCCTGGGAGAAGTCTCCTTTCCAGGATTCGGGTGTCACCCCTCTGCCTTCTCTGAGGTTACGGAACTGACCGGGGTCACAGCGGGTCGGCCACGATGTGGGGTCGGTAGAGCCGGCCTGCTCCCCTCCCGGCCTCCGGCAAGCACCCTACCAGACCTGCCTCCGACCAAACCCACTGAGAACGAGTGCTCCAAATCATCCTCGAACAACGGTGAGAAGGAAAGACCGTCGGTTATCAACACGAGAAAGTGAGTCGGGGGAACTCGTTTGACAAAAGCAGAAAAAGAAAAGCTTCAAATGCGGTGGTCTCCGCAATTCTTGCTTATAGTCTCTGGACATTACAGGGTTGCCCTGTGGTGGGTTTGCCCGGCGCCTCCCCTAGTGCCCTGCGGCATGGGGCACGCTGTCCAAGCCGAGGACCTCCTAGGTCGGTGCCCACGTACCTGTAGAGCTGTCTCCTCCGCGGCAGGTCTTCTGTGCTCAGGAAGTAGCTGCAAAGACCAGCAGGTGAACAGGGATCAGCGGGCTCCAGGGCAGGCTTGCCTTCCACTGCTAGGCTCGGCCTGCACGCACTTCCCGGGGACTTCTGTCGGTGCATGGGGACAGGCCCAACTCTCCCGCTCAGGCCCAGCCCCGTGTATGTGCAGGCGGGGAAAGCCGCGAGCCACACACCCGGGGGAGGGGGTAAGGGGGGGGCGGGCTGTGCCGGGGGTGAGGATGGTGATGCATGTCTCTGGACTCAGATGCGGGAATTTCTCTACAAGATTGTTAGCCCCCTGTGGGGCCAGGACCCAGCCAGGTAATCTCGTAAAGCCTGGGGCAATGACGCTGGAGGAATGGTGTTCATTTGCCACGCGGAGCGCGGGCGGGAGCCTGGACTCTGGTCACAGGATCAGGGAGGAGGAGGGCATCCTGGCCTGGCCTCTGCCATCTGAGCTGAGCCCTAGCTCCCTCGTTACCGTCTGAATAATCGGAATCACCTGGGGTCAGTGACTTAACTTCTCTGTCTCCGCTTGCTTGTTTTTGGACAGGGGAGCCTGTAACGCAGCCCATGGGACCGCTGTGTGGAACAAGAGTATACTCCCGGGGCACTATGCACACGGCCTGGAACTTGCAAATGGCACACGGCAGGCCTGCTGTGACGGCCTCCCGTTTCTCCCCACGGGTCTGGCCGCTCAGCTCCCTCTGCTCAGTGTCGTACAACTTTGGAAGTGGGGCCCTCGAGACACTGGACCCAGGGAGTCCCATGTGACTGAAAGGAAGGGCCCATCTTGCAGTGCTGGCCTGGGCCCTGGGGTTGGAGGCCTGCCCACGCCCGCGGCCAGCCCTACTCACATCTTACTCCGCTTCTCGTCGTAGGCCAGGATCTTGGTCACGTCCCAGTCTCCGGAGGTGATGGACTGTATGTTGTCATTGCTGCTGTTGGGCTGGAGCACCAGACGGGACATGGGGGAACTGGCGAGCCTGACCCATGCTTTGTTCCTCACCCAGGAGCCCCACACCACGTGGGGGTGCCATCTGCCCCCCGCCTGGATCCAGCCTGTCCACGAAGCCTCCGCTCACCACCCCGGGCCCCAGCCCTCTCCCCTTCTCTGAATGTCGGCAACACAGAGACTGGCAGAGTCCGCGTTTGTGGAACCTGTCACCCGCTACCCCGACGGCCAGTGCCTCCACCTGCGGCACACGTGTTTCATGAGAGACACGAATGCCACATAGGCTACTGCTGGCCTTCTTTACAACGTGTGATCTTGCTACTGAAGTCACTGCCATAGGGAGCCTGGGAGGGAGGAAAGAGAGAAATATGGGGACGGGAAGGAAACAGGACAGGGAGGAGGGAGGGGGGAGGGAGGGGGGAGGGGGAGGGGGGAGGGGGGAGGGAGGTGGGACACATGCCTGCCGTTCTCTGCCATCATTTGCAAGGATGCTTGAAACCGTTTTACTGAGTGTTGTACTCTCCCGCCTTGAGTGCCTTACAGAGTGAAATAACCATGACAATAAACTGTAAGGGAGGGATGCATGACCCTCTTGGCAGGAACAATGTGATCTGGAGTGGGGTGTGCAGGGGCTGCTGGTGTGAGGCACAGGCCCTCCGTGCTGGATGGCAGGCGCTGGGGAGGCAGGTGGGAATCGGATGCTGAGTAAGTCAGGTGGGGCCCGCGGGCGTCTTGGGAGCAGGGAGAGCCTGCGGGGAGCAGGGGAGTCTGGATGGCAGTGGGGGCCCTGGGACAGAGGGTAAGGGGACAGCCCAGCGGGTGGGGAGGAAGGGTAGAGGGCACAGGAGCGTCAAAGTCGCAGGCCCAAGTCCTTGGGTCCCATAGTCTCTGTCACAGTGTCAGAAGTGTCATCACTGAGCCATCTTTGAGCCATAAGAGGAAGGGCCAATGCACCCACTGCTCTGAGCAGGAACCCCTGGACTTTGCGAGCCCCGTTCTGCCCCACCTCCGGGAACCTACCTTCCAGTTCCTGAACCCGGGGCTCGCTCTGGGGCCCTTGCGGATGACAAGGACGCGCAGAGCGGGCACCACGAGGGGCTGTCACCAGCACAGCAAAGAGTTTTAGAAATGGTCAGGATTACCTGTGATGACGACACGGTGATGTGATAGAACTTTCCCTGTCCCCCCTGTGGGATGGCTCGGACAAAGAAGAACTTTCGGCCATCCTTGGAGAATACCGGTTCTTCATTCTGTGGATGAAAGCAAAGGATGCAGTCTATAAAAAGGCTTCATTTGGAAGAGGTTGACCCTGACAAAATACATTCTGAGATCCATTTTCTTTGTAATTTCTAATGAGAGATCCGGTGGGAAGAATAACCGGTGGGTGGGGCCTTTCCTCTCCTTGGGACTCACAAGTCAAACCCATCTTCTAGGAGGAGAGGAAGATTGAGGAATTAAGCAGAGACAGAGAAAGACATCCCTTTGTTAGAGAAGCATCCACAGAGCAGACTTGTGCGCGCACAGGCTGACAGGACAGAGCCGGCCGTGGGCGCGGGAAGCTCAGTGGAAGCCCAGGGCAGGGCAGGGCAGGACTTCTGGGGCGGGGGGGCATTTATCATCCATCATGAAGAACGTGGTTCTGAACACTCACAAATCTGATTTTGCCTGAACATGAATTCTACATGTTCAGTCCTGTCTTTTGTTCTTTTATTTCACAAGACCCATCTCACACCGAAGAGCCCACCAGGGAGACAAGTAAAAAGAGAAAGAAACAGCAAACAAGGACAAATTTCACACATTCTAAGATGCAGGTGCAGGGAATACTCCTTTCAGGGACCTCTAACACACACAGGCGTGTGCTGGGATCCGCCACCACTTTTCCCTGGAAAGAAATCAGCATTCCCAGCTCTCCCTGGGGGAAGGAAGTCTAGGCTGGATTCAAAGCCGAGACCTGCAGCGTGTTGCCCCCATCTCTGCGCGGCCCCCCAACGCCGAGCAGTCACAGCTTAGCCCCGCCGGCCCCGGGGTCTGGCCGACGCCTCAATGGGGAAAAGGCATTTGTTACAGCGGCACCTCGGCATCTCTGGAGCTCCAGCTTGAAAGTTTCCATCCGTGAATGCCAATTAGTTGGCTACGATATATATTTTCTGATTCAAGGAGCTCCACGCTAATGCGGGCTGAGAACAAATGGTAAATAAGCCCCAGCTGGTGCCAGGAGCACACATTTCCCTGCAATGAGTGAATGCGTACCCGCAAATGTGACGCGCCCAGAGAAATAAACTAACATGTGATTAAAATGACATTTAATCTTCATGAATATTTGCAATAAAATGAAACCTTTAATCTGCAAATATTTATTTTTCTATTTAGAGCTGGCAGTGTGGTATTTAAAAGCAGAGGGAATGGGAAAGCGAGCGGTGACCTTGGCTTTTTAAATGTCCTTCTATTTGCCAACTGCGGGACGGATACTGCAATATTGCCCCGGTTTTCTGGGGGAAATGTTTGCACTTTTGGCAGAGAAAAATACTCTGAATGAAGGTAATAAATAATTAATTCTGGCCAGATGCTTTGCTGTTATACTGAGAAGGCCCTCATCATTTTGATGTCATCTTTACATTGATGAGGGAGGGCTCTGCACCAGCCCTGAGCCTCTCGGAGACCTGGTTTCTTGGGCAGTAAATGTATTCTCGGTGAGAAAGCGCAATGGTTTTTGAGGAGGGGATCCAGACGTTAATCCTGCCTCTGACTCTCCTGGGTTTTGGGAGAAGCGTTCTAGTCTCTCTGCGTAACAGGGAGTCTCTCGTGCACCAGGCCTAAGTCTCTCCACGCCACTCGCAGCAGATCAGTGAAGAAGGAGATTCTTTGTGAGTTATTTGTACCATGTTTGCCAATTCTTTCCAGAGAGTGGTTCAGATACACTCACCTTGCCCAATATCCCAGCCTGGATTCTGAAATCACAAAACCAAAATTCTGGTAAAAGAAGAAAGACTGTCAGATGTTGGCCCATAGGCCACCTCTTCAACCAGACGATGGGTTCTGGGACTCTACACCAAATCCCTATGGATCTGCGTCAGGATGACATTGCAAGGTCATGGCTGGTGGTGATGGAATAAGTGTGTGTGTGTGTGGGGGGGAGCTGCCTATTCTTCTGGAATATTCCCAGAAGAGAGAGAACTGGGTAGACCTCTACCTGTGGGACACATACATACTCGCCTCCTTTTGTCGGCTCATGGGGATCCCCGTGGGGTCCATGCAGCGGCCTCAGGAAGGGTAGGGGAGGAAAAGAGAGGGGGTGGAGGCTCAGGTCTGCTCCAGCCCACCCCTGTTCCCCTGGCAGCCAAGGATCAGAAGACCGTTGATCTAAGCAGACTGGGTCTCCCGGGGTCGATGGGACGTCCCACACTCTGTTCTCTCCAAAGGATACCGTGCCCTGCTCGGTGGGCAGACAGCCGTCAGCCTTGGACACATTCTTAACTCACCCTCCAGGACCTCACGGTATCTTGAAGGATTCGGAAAGGCTACAGATTGAAAGGCAGGGTCCATCAATTCCTTTAGGAAACATCTCTTTGAAAGGAATGTCATGAGAAACTGTTGAAACTGGATTTTCCTACTGCCCCTGGAGCTGTGTGTTAGGGACGCCTGAGGCGTGGTACCCACAGAAATCAGGGCCTCCCCATGCTCGCCGGACCAGACCCGGGGACGCACCAGCTTGGAGGAAGCGATTCCTTTATGGGATGTGCCATCTTCCACTCAAAACGGCATGACGTGGTTTCCAATGGCTGTTTTAAAAACGTTAGCTGTTTGCTCAGTAAGTGCCTTAAAGTCTACATTTTAGAAGTGCAATTCTTCATGCTACTTTTTAAGTGCTGACTTGATTTTGCTTGGGAAGATCTGGTTTCCTAAGTCACATCCGGCTGTCTGTCTGGAGCGTGGATGGTGTTCCCAGGTGGCCACCAGACGCCATGTTGATAAACACAGAAACATCCCAGCGCCGACGGTGTCCCTGCAGCGCTGATGAAGACAGCAAAGCGGCCCAGCCCTGCAGCCTCGGGACCACGAGGACCAGCCAGGATGGCGGGAGGACAGGGAAGCCGCCGAGCACCGAGCAGCACCCCCACTCCCAGAGAATAACACACTGCTGGGCTGCAGCGAGGAGCCCCTCCCTCGCCCCCTCCCACTCAGATACAGAAGCTGCCCCTACTCTGCGAGGGTCCCAGCGCTGCCGCCCGGGTCACACTCCGTCTCCCTGCTCCAGCCCCACTGACCGCTAACACTTGAACACATTTCCTGCATATCTTAGGATTACTTTCGTTCGCCACACGTTGGACTCATGTGCACCTCTCATCTCCCTTTCTACCCCGTGACTCTTTGAGAACTGCTCTAGTGGATTCATTTTTTTTTAAAAAAAGGTATTTTTTGTGTGAAATTCACACAAAACAAAACATTTTAATAAAAGTGAGTAATTTAGTGGCACCTAGTACATTCACGAGGTCGTGCAACCAGCACCTCTCTGGTTCCAGCACATTTCCATCCCCTGGGATAGAACCCCAGGCCCTTGAAGCTGGTCATCCCTGTGCCCCTCCCCAGCCCCGGCAGCCAGCAACAGCTCTGTCTGTGAACTCACTTATTCCTGACATTTCATGTTCACGGGATCACACAATGGGGGCCCTTTTGTCCGGCTCCTGTCCCTCCACGAATATTCTTAGCTGCACTGCTCAAGATGGCCAAACAGCAGAGACAACCCAAGTGCCCATCAACAGATAAACCAACTGTGGTCTATCCATACAACAGAGCGTCGTCGAGCCAAGAAAAGGAAGGACGTTCTCGAACTTGCTAGCCAGGGGCTCAGGAGAAGAGCCTGGTGCTAGTGCAGTGCCTGGTATGATCCGTAAGCACTGGTTGATCAGACGACCAGTTAGATAATGCATTCTCTTCTGATTCTTTCAAGTCAACCTCCCTGACGTTCTGTCTGATGCACATGTATTTGGTATCTGTGCTCACGTCATGAGTCCAGGGGGCCTTTGGGAACTTCCCAGCTCCCACCACAGGGTTCTCAAGCCCTTGTCTGTTCTTGGTGTCTTCTCGGCTTGGACTTGGCACCCAGACTTACACGCAAGGAACAGAAGTGGGCACTTGGGCTAGTCCTCTTTCAGGTAAGACCAGCGAGGAGGAGTCTGAAAAGCAGCCGTGCCGACTTACGAGGCCGCCCCCCAGGTATAGTGAAGGGAGGCAGGGACCGACCACCATTCCACATGGAGGAGGTGTCACCAGCGGTCCCTGACCCTGCTGGATCACGTCAGTAAAGATGGATGCCTGTGCCTGCTCCACCACGATTCCTGACCCTCCCCACCAATCCTCAGGCAGTTTTCATCCCAGGAGGCTGGACAGCAAGGAAGGAAGCTTCTCAAACATTCTCCCCTGTTCTTTGCTGGGATGTGCAGTGAGACAGAGTGATGAGGACAGAAAACACCAGTGCTGAGAGCTTTGCTATATTGGGGCAGTTTGACCTGTTTTGTTGGGGCAGACGGCGTCCCTGTCAGCCTCACCCGACCTCCTCGAATCTCAAGCCCCCAGAGCCTGGCTAACGCGCATTTCTGACCCGCGTCGGGACGGGACACCCAGGGGTGGCTCTGAGGCCAGCCCCCCCGGAGGGCTCAGGCCACACAGCAGCGGGGTCGGCCTCGCACGGGACACCCCGAGAGCACGTGGAGAGAAATGGACTGCAAGCACTTTCCTTCCCTCTGGCCGCGGTAGAGCAGACTGGACAACTTCTCTGGACTCGTCACAATTCTCCAAAAGGCCGGCCCTCTAACTGAGCCCTGAGATCTCCCCAGGGAAGATCTCACGACTATCTCCCGTGGCTCTGTGCTTCTCCGGTGGTGCTGAAGGCCACGGGGAGCAAGGGCAAGATGGGCTGAGCCGCCCCGCCGCCCCCCCCCCCCCCCCCCGGCGCAGGAAGCTGTGCAGCCCCGTGGGGCTGTGACAACCTGGGAAGCCAGAGTGCTGGCGCGGGCGGAGAGCGTGGGAACTCAGGCGTGGGGTAGTTACCTGTCTGTGGAGCCAGGCTTCGCTCTCATCCTCGTGTTTCTGAAATGAAATAGGAGCATTAGAGAAAGGATTGCCTTTGCATGTTTCGTGTCTGTGAGCAGCAGTGCTTGATTCCCCTCCATGGTGGCCGCGCAAGCAGACGGGGCCGTGGCCCGGGCAGGCGGCGACCCGGCTCTCCACCATGTCCCCGCTGCGGCTCACAGCCCCGCACACGTGTCCCCGAACCAGGCAAACGCCACTCACCCCAGCAACGGGGACGTATCCATGGCGGGCAGGAGTCCCTTGGAAGACGGTGCACGCCTAACCCTGGGGCCCTCCCTGTCCACGCAGGGGCCCACTTAAAAGCAAATCTCAGGTGCCACACTGTTGCAGGGATTTGCGTGTGTGCGTGTGTGCACGCGTGTGGACATATCAGTTCGCAGCTCTGAATAACAATCCCAGTAGCCCAAAGCATTAAAAGGACTGAAAATGTATATGAAAAGTCAATCTCTCAGGACTGTGTGGCAAGGTGCACAATGGAAGACAAAACGAAACAAAAAACACCAGCATGACAGCTATGCAACAGGGGGCTGCTGCTCCCGGTGCTGGTCTGGCCTCCAGCTGCTGGGGGTGTGGGGAGTGGGGGTTCTTCTGTCTGTGGACCAGAGGTAGGAAGGGACCGCATTGCTGACATGTACAGCTCGGGGCACAGAAGAGACAAGGTGTAGATTCCCAGCAATTCCCAGCTTCCTGGCTGTGTGTCTCCTCCTTCCCTTCTTCCCTTCCACAAGCCCATCAGCATAACCCGGCACCTGCTCTCAATCATATCGAGAAACAAGGTACATCCCTGACTCACTGGAGGACAGCAGATCACTGAGCTCCCCTCGACGCTGTGCTTGGTGTGGCCAGAGCGGCTTCAAGGCCTCCCAAGCCACAGCAAAGCTGCTCTGCAGACTTGGGAAATAAAAACGTATGGTCCTAAAAGGAGTTTCTGAAAGACCTGCCTGGATTGATTAATGGAGTTTAATTGATTTTTTTTTTAACCTAGCACTAGGAGGTCGGCCTCTTGGGGCTCGACCTGGAGTGCGGAGATCCTGAGCCCACAGGGTGGAGTGTGTGCCTGCTGCAGGCTGGGGGGCAATGGTGGGGCCGTTCCCTTGCTCTGCCCAGTGGCCAGGCCTCGTTTGGATTTCCATTCTTTCTCGCTCCCTGTGCATATTTTTCATTTTGTCTTCACCATGTTCATTTGCCTTCTCTAACTTCACATTAAGTCAGCCCAAGGTCCCTAGGAACATTGCTGGCCTCAGCAGTGCTCTTAGAGGCAGATGCCGGCCCACCCAGGCGCTGACCCACCCAGGCGCTGACCCACCCCAGGAGTGCACGGGCTCGGGTCCGCTGGAGGACAGAGCCAACCAAAGGGGGAAGCCAGGCAGCAGTGCTGGCCCCACCTGGGTCCCGGGGCCTCAGGCCACCCCTTCCCCTCCCTGATGGCCACTGGAAAATGAGGGGAATGCTCATCGTGAGACAGCAGTGGGCACAGGTAAAGGGGTGTAACACATCCATAGACTGCCGAGGGCGCGCAGGTCCCAGGACGGGACTCCTTGGGGCGCTGGGTGGCTCAGCCGTGAGTTTTGCAGCAGTACACAATTCACCCACAAGGTGGCAGCAAAGCAGAGGCCCGCGGGCAGGTTCCCACCGCGGTCTGGGCTCAGTGACCAGTGCCCAAAGCCCAACCCGCCCCTCCCCCATTGCCGCCTCGCTGCTTCCGGCCATGGGTCCTTGCCCCCTCCCCGTACCTTCGTGCAGACCCCAGTGGTGGCGTCGCAGAGGGTGAGGATGGACACGTTCTGCGCCCGGCTCAGCCAGTTGACGGCCACCTTGGTGCTGGTGGCCCACTTCACCATGGTGATGTAGTACTCCCTGAAAACACGCAAACACACGGAATTATCGCTCTTGTCCGCGGAAGCCAGCAGCCGGGCACATCCCACGCTGGGGCGTGTCAGGGATGGACACGTCCGCGAGGCTCTGAAGTGGGGTTTCCCGACCATGTGTGTTGATACTGAACTCTGCGGGGAAACTAAGTCACTGGGCGTGGAAGTGTGGTTCTGTCTGGCTGCTCCCCGCGTATACAGTGCGCTCGGCCCAACCACCAGCTGCCCGTCCGCCGGAGGGTGACCGTGCCTTGGTGCTGCCCTGTGGGTTTTATAAGTCAGGCTGCAGCCCAGGCTGACCTACTGGCTTGATTTTCTTGCCACAGCCCGGGGCAAACGCACACGTCCAGCTCCCTAGAGGCAGCAAGGAGGTCCCAGAGGGGCCAGCAGAGCGAGAACCGGGAGGGGCTTGGGGAGAGAGGCTCTCACAGAATGTGAGATGCTGGAAAAACAAACGGGCACGCCGAGGAAGGCTGTGTGCTCCCTTTCCCTCTGCTGGGAAGGCAGAACACCCAGGGACATTCACCAGCTAATTAGGGAAATTGGTTCATGGCTCCAGGCATCAGGCAGATTTCGTTTGATACTGTAGATGTCACACACCTGCTTTCACCCAAACCTGCAAATACCAGTGTTCTAGACTACCCTGTACTTACCATGGGGGGTACTGGGGCTTCCAGTAAGTAATTCAACCACCCAGAGCCCTTCTAACACAGGATTTTTTAGGGAAAATATATATATATACACCTTTAAGAGGAAGAAGAAAATACCAAAAATACAACAGTACAGAAAGACTATCCCTGGGTGAATTCCAAGAATGTTCTAGAGGCCAGCTAACCCTGTTTCGTCACCTACCCCATCTATATCTATAATGAGATCTATTGTTCAGAATGATTACTTTGTGGTCTTACAAGATCCTTTATCACTAAAGACGGCAGCACATTCTCTAGACAATGCCTAGCAAGCTGGAAAGGCACGTGAGTACGCCCAGTGATTACTTTTCAACAGAAAGGCCTAAATCACCAGGTGCTTTCAACTAAGCTTGGGTTAAGTAGGAGAGGAGATTAAATTGCTGTGTCCTCTATTTCTCGAATCCACCTGTTAATCAAAACTTTAAATAACCTAAGTCAAGAGCTGACTCAGGCTGTCACCTCCCGCATCGGGGGTGGGGAGACCCTGGCTGCCCATCCAAGTCTTGGCCCATCTACTGGGGACTTGGCTGGTGAGAATGTCATTCAGGCATAATCCAACTTTTTTTTTAATAATTTTTTGTTATGTTAATCACCATACATTACATCATTAGTTTTTGATGTGTTCCATTATTCATTGTTTGTGCAAACACCCAGTGCTCCACGCACAACGTGCCCTCTTTAATACCCATCACCAGGCTAACCCATCCCCCCACCCCCTCCCCTCTAGAACCCTCAGTTTGTTTTTCAGAGTCCATCGTCTCTCATGGTTCGTCTCCCCCTCCAACTTACTCCCCTTCATTCTTCCCCTCCTGCTAACTTCTTTTTTTTCTTAACATATATTTGCATTATTTGTTTCAGAAGTACAGATCCGTGATTCATCAGTCTTGTACAATTCACAGCGCTCACCATAGCACATACCCTCCCCAATGTCTATCACCCAGCCACCCCCTCCCTCCCACCCCCCACCACTCCAGCAACCCTCAGTTTGTTTCCTGAGATTAAGAACTCCTCATATCAGTGAGGTCATAGGATACGTGTCTTTCTCTGATTGACTTATTTCACTCAGCATAACACCCTCCAGTTCCATCCACGTCGTTGCAAATGGCAAGATCTCATTCCTTTTGATGGCTGCATAATATTCCATTGTGTATATATACCACCTCTTCTTTATCCATTCATCTGTCGATGGACATCTTGGCTCTTTCCACAATTGGGCTATTGTGGACATTGCTGCTATAAACATTGGGGTGCACGTACCCCTTCGGATCCCTACATTTGTATCTTTGGGGTAAATACCCAGTAGTGCAATTGCTGGATCGTAGGGTAGCTCTAATTTCAACTGTTTGAGGAACTTCCATACTGTTTTCCAGAGTGGTTGCACCAGCTTGCATTCCCACCAACAGGGTAGAGGGTTCCCCTCTCTCCACATCCCCGCCAACATCTGTCGTTTCCTTACTTGTTAATTTTAGCCATTCTGACGGGTGTGAAGTGGTATCTCGTTGAGGTTTTGATTTGGATTTCCCTGATGCCGAGCGATGTTGAGCACTTTTTCATGTGTCTGTTGGCCATTTGGATGTCTTCGTTGGAAAAATGTCTGTTCATATCTTCTGCCCATTTCTTGATTGGATTATTTGTTCTTTGGGTGTTGACTTTGAAGAGTTCTTTATAGATTTTGGATACTAGCCCTTTATCTGATATGTCATTTGCAAATATTTTCTCCCATTCTGCCGGTTGTCTTTTGGTTTTGTGACTGTTTCTTTTCCTGTGCAAAAGCTTTTTATCTTGATGAAATCCCAATAGTTCATTTCTGCCCTGGCTTCCCTTGCCTTTGGCGATGTTTCTAGGAAGAAGTTGCTGCGGCTGAGGTCGAAGAGGTTGCTGCCTGTGTTCTCCTTTAGGATTTGGATGGACTCCTGTCCATCCAAAGGTCTTTCAACCATTTGGAGTCTATTTTTGTGTGTGGTGTAAGGAAATGGTCCAGTTTCATTCTTCTGCATGTGGCTGTCCAATTTTCCCAACACCATTTGTTGAAGAGACTGTCTTTTTTCCATTGGACATTCTTTCCTGCTTTGTCAAAGATGAGTTGACCATAGAGTTGAGGGTCCATTTCTGGGCTCTCTATTCTGTTCCATTGATCTATGTGTCTGTTTTTGTGCCAGTACCATACTGTCTTGATGATGACAGCTTTGTAATAGAGTTGGAAGTCCGGAATTGTGATGCCGCCAGCTTTGCTTTTCTTTTTCAAGATTCCTCTGGCTATTCGGGGTCTCTTCTGGTTCCATACAAATTTTAGGATTATTTGTTCCATTTCTTTGAAAAAGGTGGATGGTATTTTGATGGGGATTGCATTGAATGTGTAGATTGCTCTAGGTAGCACTGACACCTTCACAATGTTTGTTCTTCCAATCCCTGAGCATAGAACGTTTTTCCATTTCTTTGTGTCTTCTTCAATTTCTTTCATGAGTATTTTATAGTTTTCTGAGTACAGATCCTTTGCCTCTTTGGTCAAACTTATTCCTAGGTATCTTATAGTTTGGGGTGGAATTGTAAATGGGATCAACTCCTTGATTTGTCTCTCTTCTGTCTTGTTGGTGTATAGGAATGCCACGGATTTCTGTGCATTGATTTTATAGCCTGCTACTTGACTGAATTCCTGTATGAGTTCTGGCAGTTTTGGGGTGGAGTCCTTTGGGTTTTCCACATATAGTATCATATCATCTGCAAAGAGTGAGAGTTTGACTTCCTCTTTGCCGATTTGGATGCCTTGGATTTCTTTTTGTTGTCTGATTGCTGTGGCTAGGACTTCTAAAACTATGTTGAATAGCAGCGGTGAGAGTGGACATTCCTGCCGCGTTCCTGACCTTAGGGGAAAAGCTCTCAGCTTTTCCCCATTGAGAATGATATTCGCTGTAGGTTTTTCAGAGATGGCTTTTATGATATTGAGGTATGTACCCTCTATCCTTATACTCTAAAGAGTTTTGATCAAGAAAGGATGCTGTACTTTGTCAAATGCTTTTTCTGCATCTATTGAGAGGATCATATGATTCTTGTTCTTTCTTTTGTTAATGTATTGTATCACATTGATTGATTTGCGGATGTTGAACCAACCTTGCAGCCCAGGGATAAATCCCACTTGGTCATGGTGAATAATCCTTTTAATGGACTGTTGGATCCTATTGGCTAGTATTTTGGTGACAATTTTTGCATCCATGTTCATCAAGGATATTGGTCTGCAATTCTCCTTTTTGATGGGGTCTTTGTCTGGTTTTGGGATCAAGGTAATGGTGGCCTCATAAAATGAGTTTGGAAGTTTCCCTTCCATTTCTATTTTTTGGAACAGTTTCAGGAGAATAGGTATTAATTCTTCTTTAAATGTCTGATAGAATTCCGCTGGGAAGCCATCTGGCCCTGGGTTTTTGTTTGTTGGAAGATTTTTGATGACTGCTTCAATTTCCTTAGTGGTTATAGGTCTGTTCGGGTTTTCTATTTCTTCCTGGTTCAATTTTGGTAGTTGATATATCTCTAGGAATGCAACCATTTCTTCCAGGTTATCTAATTTGCTCGCATAGAGTTGCTCATAATATGTTCTTAGAATTGTTTGTATTTCTTTGGTGTTGGTTGTGATCTCTCCTCTTTCATTCATGATTTTGTTGATTTGGGTAATTTCTCTTTTTTTTTTGATGAGTCTGGCCAGGGGTTTATCAATCTTGTTAATTCTTTCAAAGAACCAGCTCCTAGTCTCGTTGATCTGTTCTACTGTTCTTTTGGTTTCTATTTCATTGATTTCTGCTCTGATCTTTATTATTTCTCTTCTCCTGCTGGGTTTAGGCTTTATTTGCTGTTTTTTCTCTAGCTCCTTTAGGTGTAGGGTTAGGTTGTGTATTTGAGACCTTTCTTGTTTCTTGAGAAAGGCTTGTATTGCTATATACTTTCCTCTCAGGACCGCCTTTGCTGTATCCCAAAGATTTTGAACAGTTGTGTTTTCATTTTCATATTTTTCCATGAATTTTTTAAATTCTTCTTTAATTTCTTGGTTGACCCATTCATTCTTTAGTAGGATGCTCTTTAGCCTCCATGGATTTGAGTTCTTTCCGACTTTCCTCTTGTGATTGAGTTCTAGTTTCAAAGCATTGTGGTCTGAAAATATGCAGGAAATAATCCCAATCTTTTGGTACCGGTTGAGACCTGATTTGTGACCTAGGATGTGATCAATTCTGGAGAGTGTTCCATGGGCACTAGAGAAGAATGTGTATTCCGTTGCTTTGGGATGGAATGTTCTGAATATGTCTGTGAAGTCCAT